TTGACCACGAACAATTCGGATTCATTCCAGGGACACAAGGATAGTTCAACATACGAAAATTAATCTACGTTATCCATCACATCAACAAAAAGAAATATAAAAACCATATGATAATATCAATAGATGCTGAGAAAGCTTTTGACAAAGTACAACACCCATTTATGATAAAGGCCCTTGAAATTCTCAGGATACAAGGAACATACCTCAACATCATAAAGGTCATATATGACAAGCCAACAGCCAGTATCATTCTCAATGGTGAAAAGCTGAAAGCATTTCTATTAAGATCTGGAACAAGACAAGGATATCCACTCTCACCACTGCTTTTCAATATAATACTGGAAGTCCTAGCCAGAGCAATAAGACAAGAGAAAGACATACAAGGAATCCAAATAGGAAAAGAAGAAGTCAAACTATCACTATTTGCAGATGATATGATAATATACATAGAGAACCCAAAAAAATCCACAGAAAAACTAATTCAACTAATCAATCAATTTAGTAAAGTGGCAGGATACAAAATCAACATGCAAAAATCAGTAGCCTTCCTATACACAAAAAATAAATCTGAAGAAGAAGAAATCAAAAAGCCATCCCTTTTATTATCAAAACAAAAAAATCAAATACTTGGTAATAAATCTAACAAAAGAGGTAAAGGACCTATACAAAGAAAACTATGAAACACTGTTAAAAGAAATAGAAGAAGACACAAAGAAATGGAAAGACACCCCTGCTCATGGATTGGAAGAATCAACATTATTAAAATGGCCATCCTACCAAAAGCAATATACAGATTCAAGCTATTCCAATAAGAATTTCAATGACATTCTTCAAAGAAATAGAACAATTATTGATGAAATTCATATGGAATCACAAAAAACCCCAAATAGCCAAGGCTCTCCTGAAAGAAAAAGAAGGGAATGGTGGCATCACACTCCCAAACTTCAAACTATACTACAAAGCCATAATCATCAAAACTGCATGGTATTGGAACAAGAACAGACACATAGACCAATGGAATTGAATAGGAAATCCAGAAATAAACTCACAAATTTATGGTCAACTAATCTTTGACAAAGGAGCAAAGAATATGCACTAGAGCAAAGAAAGTTTGCTGGGAAAACTGGGTCGCTACATGCAAAAGAATGAAGCTTGACTACTACCTCACACCATACACAAAAACCAACTCAAAATGGATGAAAGAACTAGACATGAGACCTGAAACCATAAAATACATAGAAGGAAATATAGACGAAACACTACGTGATATGCACATCCAAGACATCTTTACAGACACATCACCCAAAGCAGTGATAGTGAAGGCAAAGATCAACAGCTGGGACTACATCAAATTAAAGAGCTTCTGCACAGCAAAAGAGACAATAACAAAAACAAAGAGAAACCCCACTGACTGGGAGAACATTTTTGCACACAACCCTAATGATAAAGGACTGATCACAAAATCTACAAAGAGCTGATGAGACTCAACAAAAACAAAGTAAATAATCCAGTAAAAATGGGCAGAAGAGCTAAAAAGAAACTTCTCTGAAGCAGAAATGCAAATGGCCAACAGACATATGAAAAAATGTTCAACATCAGTTGTAATCAGGGAAATGCAAATCAAAACTACCATGAGATACCATCTTACACCAGTGAGAATGGCACATATTAAAAAAACTAGCAACAACAAATGTTGGCGAGGGTGTGGAGAAAAAGGAACTCTCCTGCACTGTTGGTGGGAATGCAAACTGGTCCAACCACTATGGAGAGCTGTGTGGAGATTTCTGGACCTACTAAACATAGAGCTTCCATATGATCCAGCAATTCCACTCCTAGGTATTTACCCAAAGGACACAGAAACATCAATTCCAAAGAACACCTGCACCCCTATGTTTATAGCAGCACTATTTACAATAGCTAAGCTTTGGAAACAACCCAAATGCCCCAAAAATAGATGACTGGATCAAGAAGATGTGGTACATATACACCATGGAATATTACTCAGCATTCAAAAAAGATAAACACATGCAATTTGCAGCAACATGGATGGCGCTGGAAGGGATCATGCTCAGCGAAATAAGCCAAAAAGAAAAAGAAAAATACCGGATGGTCTTACTCATAGCAGGAATCTAGAAAACTCAAATAAGGGATCAGGAAAATGAATAACTATAAGAAAGTGAAAATCAAAATCAACAAAAAACTATGAACCAGAGACACTTTTTGGGGGGGGTGGGGCCGGGAGGGGAGGGATTGGGGTCAGAATGGGGCATGTGCAGTTGTATGGGGGAATATAAAAATAAAATTTATTATTATTTAAAAAAAAAAAGAAACAACTGTAGGGCCTCCCTGGTGGCGCAGCGGTTGAGTGCTGTGTTGCCAAGCTGCCTGCAGCCTCTGCAACACCAGTTCGATCCCCAGCTGCTCCCCGGCCACTGGAGGAGGGTCCCACATGGTGCGCAGACCTCTCCTGCCGCCCGCTGCTCCCCTCAGCAGTGTACTTCGGTCCTTCTGCCTGCTCTGCTCCCCGCTCTGGCTTTGGTGAATTCTCTCACCCTCCGCGCTTCTGATTGTACCCAGTGCTTGTATAAATAAATAAAAATAAATCTTAAAAAAAAAAAAAAACAACTCTAAGTCTCAAACATTTGGGGATTTAATGTAAATAAACACTTTTCAATGAATTTAAATAAAAAATCATGGCCATAAAGAGCACAAAATTTGTTTGGGAGAAATGAAAGGCAGAGCAGCTGGACAACAAATTGACATGTCAAGGACATATCTCTAGCCAGGCTTGCCTGGGGCTGTCAGCCATAGGGTTTTTGAGAACAGAATTCTTTTTTTTAAGATTTATTTATTTATTTATACAAGAACTGGGGTATAGTCCTGGAGGGTGAGAGTATTCACCAGAGACAGAGTGGGGAACAGGACAGGCTGACTGACGAAATACACTTGTTGAGGGGAGCAGTGGGTGAGACAGGAGAGGTCTGCCATACCATGTGGGACCCTTGCAGGCTGGCCGGGATCAAACCAGTGCTGCAGAGGCTGTGGACATCTTCACAGCACTGTGATCAACTGCCTGCGCCACCAGGGGAGGACCAAGAACAGAAATTTTTAAACACAGATTCTTATTCAGGATATCTGGGGGTTAGGGGGAAGCAGAGGAGACTTCAGCAAATCCACTTTCAAAACCTTGTACTTTTCTGAGTCATGATATATATGCAAACATATTTCCAGGGTGTAGCAAATCAGAGGGCTTCTCTCAGCGGGATTGTGGGGTTCATTCCTAATATCAAGCCTGCAGGCATGAATTTAAGTGAAGGGAAGAAGGTGAAGCTCTTCTACTTGACTACAGAAATCCTGAAATGTATATATTCTTTTCACTTTTAACTTCTAAACACACACTGTCACCCCTTCCCATGCTGCTTCCATCTATAAGTAAGGTGTATTATCACCAAATTGGGCAAGACTACTTAATCACTTAATTGCCTCCACATACTACCACACCCTTAGGGGAGATTGATCATTTGTTTAATCTTTGAGGATTTGTTGATATTTATTTTAACCTAATTTTAACTGAACATAAAGTCTTGAGGTGAGTGCACAGGTAAGGAGCATATACTGTGTTTTTGTGAATCAAATCTAGAGTGAAACATTAGAGTGAAACACAAGATCTAAACAGACAGTTGTGCATGTGGTGTGTGCAGAGCAAATAACTTATTAGTTTCACAGATTAACAAATGGAGAGGAAATATACCCAAGGCATCTCATTCATTAATTGGACTTGATTTAGGTGATGAGATTATGGATTTTGAGCAGACAATGTAACAGTAAGGCTCACAGGGACCCTGGGGAGAGGGAAGTGTATTTTGCATGTGGCAGGGACGTGAAAAATTGGAGGCCACAGGGTGTACTAAGACAAATACTTATGAGATGACCCTCATGAGGCTCCTATTCTTCTCTCTTTATGCAGTCACCTCAGTTTGAGAGAGGAATGGACAGTGGCTTGTTTTCAACCAATAAATATGGCAAAGGGAGAAGGTTCATAATTACATGGATGGGGCCAGCGACTATGCTCCCTATGCCTATTTTCCTCTGCCCCTTGCTGGCTTTGAAGAAGCAAATAGTCATGTTGGCGAAACTCATGCAGCAAGAACTGTTGGTAACTTCTAGGAGCTGAAAGTAATTTCTGAGCAATAGTCTCTAAAAATGGAAGCCCTCAGTCCTACAACCACAAGAAACTGAATTCTGCCAACAAGGCTGCAGCGTGGATAGAGTCTCAGATGAGACTGCAGCCCTTAAGTTTACTGCAGTCTTCAGAAACCTTAAATAATATTTAATATGACTATCCCATTTAATGACTATTTAATATGACTATCCCAACTGGTGCCACCAGCCAACTAGCCATGAATTTAAAAAAGTTATTTTCAGGGCCTCCCCTGGTGGTGCAGCAATTGCGCGCCGGGCGGTGAAGCTGCCCGTAGCCTCTGCAGCGCCGGCTCGATCCGCGGCCGCTGGTGAGGGTCCCACATGGCACGGCAGACCTCTCCTGTCTCGCCCACTGCTCCCCTCAACAGTGTATTTCGTCACTGTTCCCTGCTCTGTCCCTGGTGAATTCTCTCACCCTCCCGCGCTTCTGACTGTACCCAGAGCTTGTGTAAATGAATAAATAAATCTTTAAAAAAATTTAAAAAAGTTATTTTCTAGAAATTGATTGAAGGAGAATGTTAATACCACTGAGGGTAAGTGTAATCTTTAATTTTATGTGTCCACTTCACTGAGAAGACTCAGTGAAGCAGTGACTTTTGACTCACAAAAACCATAAAATAATGCCTGTTATTTTAAGCTGCCAAGTTTGTGGCAATTGTTATGAAGCAATAGGTAATTAATATAGTAGTTACACAGTCCTGAAAGTGGATGCATTTTTGTACCATAAGTGTGCCCTGCCTCACCCTAATCCTGATTCTGATATAAATTGTGGTTTTGAATATGTACAAACACAATACCTGAACAAGCAGTGTCATTGGGCCACTTTTGTCAATTTCCAGGATCTCTCCATTTTTTGTTCCCACCAGGATATGTCCATGTCCCAAAGTGATGGCACGAATTGAAGGGTTATCTTCCAAAAGCAAGCCTGAAAGGGGAAAAGAATGCATTCAATATTGTAAATATATTTGATAGAACAAACAAAAAAAAAGACTGTCATATAAAGTCTGTTTTCATAGTTCTAAAGTACTAGGTACAAGGCAATTATCCTTGACATTTATACCAGGAGTCAAGAATTCTAAAGGTGGAAGAGAAAAAATTGACTTGGTAAAGGTTTTTCAAGAACTTTGGCACTATCTTCTCTATCCCAGTGAACAGCAAGATGGTTATGGCGTTTAGGAGGGGCACCTTTTGAGCTAGTTGACAATGCTGCTCTTTTAATGGCATATGTCTTCAAGCACCTTTCAAACATATCATCCCAGAGCTCCACGATTCCATCCTTTCCACCTGTTACAAAACCCTGTGAAGGCACACATGGGAAGAATTACGTACACATCAACATGACCAGTTACCCCTCACCTCAGCAGAAGTCCCCCTTGAGTAAGGCAGCTGTGTGTGTGTTTTCTTTCTAGGTACAGGACACTGGAAAAGCTGCTAACATTCTTAATATTTTCTGGGAGCATCTTTCTCCTACTTCTCTGGCAGGAATAAAGACATTCTCACTTTGCGTTCTTTGTACTTTCTTCAGAACACTGATTGGCACTTGACACCCTGGATCATGGATGTGGTTTCTGTGCTCAGCTCCCCAACTATAGAGTGGGTTCCTTTGGAATAGACCAGTCTCAAAGCCCAGCAGTTTCTTTTATCTCATATACTTCCCTTGAGTGAGTCAGAGTTAATATCACAATTAAAAATAATTGTCAAATGTTTAAAAATTTATGCTTTGGGTAGTTACTTCCAGGAGAAAACACCATTACTTATTAAGAGTAGCTTAGGTATTTCATATGACAAAAGTATCCTGCTATTTTGTTCAACAGGAATGAATTTCTGCAATAATTAACATCTAGATTTCTTTTTACAAAACCTGGAAAGTAAAAAACTTAACATATTGGATTTTTAAAAAATTGAACAGTGATCTTTATTCTTGTTCTAAGCTTATAATTTCTTGGCTTTACTAGTTTTCCTTTCTGGCAACCTTATCTGAGATACCAACTGCTCTTAGAAAAGTCTCCTCTCTTAATGAAAAAGACTGAGTAATTTATTCTGAGTTCTCAGAAACTTTTAATTTATCCCATTCAATGAAATTCGCAAGGAAATATTTTGAGTTTTTTTTTAAAGATTTATTTATTTATACAAGAACTGGGGTACAGGCCAGTTGTGCGGGAGGGTAAGAGGGTCCACCAGAGACAGAGCGGGGAACAGAACAGGCAGACTGACTGAAATACACTGCTGAGGGGAGCAGCGGGCGAGATGAGAAAGGTCTGCCATGTCATGTGGGTTGTTCCGCGGTCGGCGGGGATTGAACCGGCACTGCAGAGGCTGCATTTGGACAGCTTCACAGTGTAGCACACAACCGCCTGCACCACCAGGGAGGCCCTATTTTGAGGTTTATTATGTTAAATATCCCTATTCTTTACAGATTTTGTACCTAGGGAGATTCAGTTCCCAAATTAAATTTAAATGCAATATTTTTACTGTGACAACCTTGTCCTTTCCCATGTGTGATTCAGTTTTTTTTTTTTAAAGATTTATTTATTTATGTATACAAGAACTGGGGTACAGGCCAGAAGTACGGGGGGTGAGAGGATTCCCCAGAGACAGAGTGGGGAACAGAGCAGGCAGACTGACTGAAATACACTGCTGAGAGGAGCCACAGGAGAGACAGGAGAGGTCTGCTGCGCCATGTGGGTCACCTCCCTGGCTGGCCCAGGAATGGAACTCATGTGAACTCGTGCTACAGCGGCCAGCGACAGCTTAAAAGCACTGTCTTTAACACCTGCGCCACCAGGGAGGCCCTTTGTCAGTTTAATTTATCAATGAATAAAAGAGTTTAAACAAGTTATAGAACATCAACTTTTGGGATTATGAAATTGTTGCATTTTACTTTAATCTTTTTCTAACATTTTCAATTTAACCAAAAACAAGATTATCAGTTTAAAAACAGCTTACCCACTAAAACAATCATTACAGCTACACATATAACATGAACCTACTTCTGTTAGTGGAATCAGCCTATTTACGTATTAAGTGCAAAATAAGGCTTGGCTTTGTTAGATGTGCTGTGTGGCTTAGACTGTTTGGAGGTCAGAGAGCACAGAAAAACTGGTGCCACCAGCTAACTAGCCATGAATTTAAAAAAGTTATTTTCTAGAAATTGACTGAAGAAGGAATGTTAATACCACTGAGGAGAGGGTAAGTGTGATCTTTATAAAGGAATACTACAAGGCAGGTGAATAGCTGGAAAAAGATGAGCTTGAGTAGAAATACGGTCAGTGTGATGGCTTTTGTTACGGTCATGGTTGATTTTATGTGTCCACTTGACTGGCAATGGGATAGTCATATTAAATATTATTTATGAATGTCTATGATGAGACTAACATTGTAATTGGTGGACTCAGTGGATTGCCCTCCCCCATGTTGGGGGGGGGCATCAGGCAGTCACTTGGGAACTTAAATGGAACAAAAGGCATAGGAAGGAAGAACTGTCCCCCTTTTCCTATCTCAGTGATTGATCTAAGACACCGATCTCACCTTTCCTTGCCCTCACATTGGGATTTACACCATCTGCTCCCTGGCTCTCAGGCATTTTACTCAGACTGAACTGCAGACAGCACAGCAGGACTGCTCAGTCTCCAGAATCATATGCACCATTTCCTCTTAGCAAATACCTATTTAAACATGTACATGCATGTGTATATGTATATGAAAACCCTACTGCTTCTATCCTTTGAAGAACCCTAATACAACTGATGAAGACTTCACTCTGACACTCATGTAAAAGTCAAACCTGTCTACACAGGAACAAATTGGTTATTAATCTGTTTTTGGTCAAATTGATGTAGAGGACGATAATCTAACCACTTGGTGCTTGTAGGTCTCTGCCCATTACGCCACTGAGGAGGAAGATTGAAATATTTCTCAGGAGCCTTCTGCTACTCTGTGTATCCATTTATCCTGGCACATCTTAAGGAATTCTTAGGAGCGAGAGCCAATAAGAACAAGTGTGAAAAAAGTGAAGAAAAATTGAAGATAAAGAAAGAACAAATTATGAAAATTATGATAGCCAAATTATGAAAATATTTGTACTTCCTTCCCTATCTTCTCTTGACTAGAGGTTTGTGACAACTACTTCTTAATTCAGATAGAGTGTTACAGTGCTGATAGACCTTGGGCATCCTCTGAGAGTGAGCTTTCCTAAGTCTGCCTTTCAGTTTAGAAAGTTAATGAGAAAAACAACTTCTGAAAAATATACCATACCTTATCCAATGCATACATAGCAAACACAGGCCCATCATGAGCTTTCACTGTCTTCAGTAGCAAAATGTCTTTCCAAATAAAAATATCTCCTGTAGCTGCTCCTGAGAACACGAAATCTTCCATTCGCCCATAAGAAACACACATCATTGTTTCCAATTTTCCAACACTTCCAAAAATTCCTCTTTTAGATGTGAAACCCCCACCTGGAGAGTACACCAAGTGTGCTTATTACTTTTTCAAAATTCAACACCTTCTGTAAACATGTAGTTCATCTATCTTCAATGAAAAACTCATGTGTCCACATTATGGGTATACATGAAGACAGATAAAATGGCAGAGAAGATCAACATATTCTAAGAGGGTTTTCATTTACACATTGCTTATTGAACCCCTATTTTGTTATTGACACAGTGGGCAATGTTGGGGTATAAAGATGAAAAGAGAAAGTTCCTGCCCTCAAGGAACTTAGAGTCTGGTGGGAAAAAGGACTTGATATCAGTTCAATGGGGTATTTTTCTAACTGGGTTCAGGGCAAGTCCTGTGCCCGCCAGTGGAAGGAGTGGCAGAATGCTGACCAAAAAGAGTGAAAACACCACCAGCTACAATGTAAACACATTATATATGTTTTGCCCAGTTTTTATCACAGAAATTTTGGGGTGAGAAAAATGAATCATTGTGTAGGATACAGCATATCCAACTTGTCCTTTAAATGTTCACAATTTCCTTGCCTGACTGGCACTGGGAATCTCAGACTCACTCCAGACAACTATGCGCAGGTTGGCTTTGCAGACATGTTGGGTGCGTTCTCTTTTCTTTAAAAGCAGAAGATACTGGACTAGTAACTTATTTTTATGTTATGTCCAGTTTAAGATGGGTTAGTACAGAAGAATTCAAAAACAATTCAATAGTAGGTCTGAATTACTAGTGAGAAGAATAAAATATCCTTCCATGTTTTGTTACATTTATTCATCGTTATTATCAACACTACAATTCACAAATATTTATTTTGGCCACCTTCTGTGCCAGAGCTTAATTCATGTGCTAAATTCAGTGATAAAGGAAACCTCAAAATACCAAACATTCTATTCAATCAATCAAAATGATTATTTTTTTTCCTGCTCAGTGGACCAACATAATTCCTGCTTTCAGAACAGAGGACTACAGATAAAAATAATTATTTTCACAGCAGAACATTTCCCAAAGCTATCTAGATATTGATGAATATGCATAGCATATTGAATGTCTTCAGAGTCACAGTTTAGACATTAAACAGTCCAGAGTGAACTTAGGAGAGAATATCTTCTAGGCATATTTTAATTTTAGATTGCAGAGACAAGCTAGGTAGTGGCAGTGTGAAGCTCTCAGCCACAAAGTCATAAATCCAAACAACAGTACCTGCTTGTTGCCAGAATTTGATGTGCTTTGTTCCAACTGTAACCAGTTTGTCAACATGGTGTGGGTTACACTTTACCACAAATATTTTATCTTTGTGTCCTCTGTAATAGATAAATGAGAAAAAAATTCTAATTTTGATGGAAGCAGTGATATAGGGTTTCATTAAAAGCATACATTTGGCCTAACTTCTATTAAGCACATCTAACAGGACAACAAAATTAGATGATTTAAAGCACACATGACATCTTTATTAAGATGAGCTTTGACTTTTCTGTGCATGTTCAAACTCTCCCTTCTTACCTTAATATTGCTACCAAAGTCTACTTAATTATGCTTAAACAAACAAGTGAAATATTTTGAATGAATCAGAATGTTTCTGACAATAAAATTACTGCCCGCACCATAGCACTGTGAACAAGTCTCAAAATATTAAGTTCTGGTACATAAGTGGTGGAAGATACTGCAGTAGTACTATATGAAGCTTCACATGTAATGTTCCTGGTATTGAAGACGTAGCTTAAGGTGAACAGGGTTTCAACTAGATATGTATTCACTAAACACTGAAGCGCCTGGCTCACATCCATGGAGAGAAAGGATATCATCTACTGAGTCCAGGCACTTCAGGAAGCTACGCATTCAGAAACTAAGATTTATAACCCAACAGACAGAAGGATAAATATAAAAGTGGAGATGATTGTATGCCTTGAGCAACAGACCTGGCATTCCATAGAGTGAGGGAGTATCTGTGTTATAGAGTCATCACATTAGGATCTGAGAATTTCCTAGTCTTAATGAACTATCCGATGGTTATTGGGACTTACATATCATCATTCGGAAAAAAAAAAGCAATTACCAAAAAGAATATTACTGACCAATTTCCCCTATGAACATAGATACAAAATTTTAAATCTTAGCAAAGAGAATCCAATAACAAATTTGAAAATAATACATTATGACCAAATGCAAACAGGATTCATTATTAAGGAATCAAATAGCATAATTCACCATATTAAAAGGCATAAGAAGAAAAATTATTATTTTCTCAGATCCTAAAAAGTATCTGAGCAAAAGCTAGTGCTCATTTATGATTTAAAAATCACTCAACAGTGGCCCCTGCACCATTGCTGGCAGGCAAGAACTCCATGATTCCCTTCTGAAACTGAGAAGAGAGAGGGAGGGCTCTGTAAACAAAGGTGAGCAGGAAATTGCATGCTGAGCAAGGCTGCTGCAGGTCCTGTGCCCCACTTTGGAAATGAATAGAGACAGGGAGGGCTCTGTCATCAAGGTGGACTGTGGCACCAGGAAAGAGCGGCCCCTTCTTCAGTGTTGGAAGGCAGGGACTCCATGATCCCCTTTCAGAACTGAGTAGAGAGAGGGAAGGCTCTGCCATAAAGGTGAACTGAGGGTCCCAGGAAAGAGTGGGCCTGCCCATGGAGCAGTTAGAAGCCAGGGACCTCATGATCCATTTCTGAAACTGAGTAAATACAGAGGGAGGGGATCTTCAAGGACAGTGGCCATCAATATATCCACAGCATCACTTTCCCTGTGAGTATGGCGTAAAAGTGCTGGACTCAGTCTGGCCACCTTTTCCTGACATCCCAGAAGAAGCACCCCAAAGAGAAGCCTGCCAGTACCAGTGGCACAGTGGCCCAACACATAGAACAAATTAGAAAGCAAACAACAGGGAGAAGGAAAAATACAAATAACCAAGCAAGTCCTCAGGGGAAGAACACACCACAAAAGAAAATCAGCCACTAGAACAAAACAACAATGACATGGAAGAACTTCTCTGCCTGCCAGATAGAGAATTCAAAATTGTCATGATTAAAAAAAGATAATGAAGATGAAAATGAAGAGAATGATATGAGAAAGATAATTAACGAACTGAAGAATTAAATTGAGTACTTAAAGAAGGAAATGAAGGAAACACAGGAGATTAAAAAATAAATGAAGGAGCTGAAGAACTCTAGGAAAAGCACCACAAACAGAATTGATGAAATAGAAGAATGAATCATTACTCTGGAAGATACAGATATAAAAAGAACCAAAAAAGAAAAGGAAAGAGAAATATGAAGGAAAAAAGAATGAAGAAACACTTCAAGAACTACCTGACACTCTGAGGAAAGGAAATATGAGAGTTATAGGAATCCCAGAAGGAGAGAGAGACCAAGGAACCGAGAAAATATTCAAGGAGATAATCAAAGAGAACATCCTAAGCATAAAGGAGATGAAAATAGACATACCGGAAGTTGGAAGAACATCAAATTACCACAATGAACGGAAAGCTACAGCAAGACACACAAAATAGCAAGCTTTACTATTGTAAAGCTTCCAAGAGTCCAACACTAGGAAAAAATAATGAAGCTGACAAGGGGGAAGAAACAGATAACCTATAAAAGAGAACCAATCAAGCTGACATAGATTCCTCTGAAGAAACACTACGGGCAGGAAGAGAAGACATATTCAACAGACTTCACGTCAACAAATGACAACCAAGAATACTTTATCCTGCAAAGCTCTCCTTCCACTATGAAGGAAAAATAAGGGCCTTCTCAGACAAAAAGAATCTCTAGTAATTCATTACTAGCAAACCCCCACTCTAAAAAATACTGCAAGAAGTCCTAAAGCCAAAACCAACAGAAGAATGAAGAAGAACAGAATAAGGAATAAAATCACAAAAAGACAAAATGGCAAATACAGATACCAACTGTAGGTTAAATGATTTTCAGGCTTTTCTGCCCTCCTGCCATTAGGATTTGCCTGCCTGATGGGGCACCTGCATTTTGTTACTTTGGTATAAGTTATGTTGTTTACTTCTGTGGGCCATAGCAGCAGGATTGAGATAGCCACCAAGAGAAGCAGAGGCATGAGAGAGAACTGGAAAGAAGGGGAGAAAGAACGCCAGAGAAGCCCAGA